TTAAGGCAATTGCTTCACTTTACAGATTGAGGCCCAGAGAGGTAAAGTGATTTGTCAAGGTCACAAAGCTGTCAATTGTGCCAGGATTGGGTCCAAGTTCTCATGCTTCCAAGTTCAGCCCTCCTTCCACTGCCTTCCCCAGCACCCTCTTGGAGACAGCAGTTTCTTCATGTGGAAAGAGATGACAACAATAATTGCTACCACCTGTCTCTCTGAATCCTTGGTTACCCTCACAGCTCAGCCTGAAACCACCTGCTGCATCATCCTCTGTTTGGTCCATGAGCCCCAGCACCCAACACTGTACCAGGCATACAGTAAACACTTAATAAATGCTCAGTGATTGGTAAGAATCTCTACCACTGGGTTGTTAGGAGGCTCAAATGACATGACAAACAGAAAAGTGTTTAACAAACCTGGAAGCCCTAGAGAAAAGTCAGGTGCTGTTACCATTACTAAAGTTCATCTTGATTATTATCCTGTGTTGGGCAGAGAGGATGGATCTGGACAAACCAATAGTTTACTGAGTTTTTATCTAAAAACAAGCAAAAAATGCTGCGTTTCTATAGCTCTTTAAGGTTTGCAAGGCATTATATATATGTATATGTACATACATATGTGTATGTATATATATGCATATATATTCTACTAGGAGCTCACTGGAGCCCTATAAGGTAAGTATCATAGGTATTATGATCACCTCCATCTTACTGATGAAGAAATTAAGGCTCAGGTTTAGGGACTTGTCCATGGTAACACAGCCAGTATATGTAAGAGGCAGAATTTGAACTCAGTTCTTCCTGACTCCAAGTCCAGTGCTCTATCTGTGCCAACATGCTACCTCCAAGAAAGAAAGGTGGTCCAAATAAGACATGCTTCCTATTGTTAGATTTCACATCATTTTTGTTAACATAAAAATGCAGCATGAAAATGGAGACTGAATGAAGTGATCACCAAGGTGTCCACTGACATGGATTTCATTTCCTATCCAAACCAATTGCTTTCACTGTCTTTCAGACTTGAATCTTTCTGCTGAAAGTCTGCATAATGTAATGCAGCTCCACCAGCATGCCTCGCTTGTAACACTGGAGGCACCTTTTAAAGGACATCCGATGCAGGATCACACAGGAAGTCTTCCAAAATAGCTTGGGAAGATTTGCATTTTGCAAGGGCAGAAACATATTTAGACATGGAGGTGACATAGTTCCAGGGAGAGAAGTGGGCCATCTTTCTGAACGACACTGGGCGTGTTGTCTACTGACTCATGGGAATGACTGGCAGAGACTTCTCCACATGCCTGTACAGGAATTCTCACTGTTCCTTCAGCCTCCTCCGGGGTCATGTTTAACATGATCCTTCTGGTACAAGACATTACTCTGGGCACTCCAACACCTCAGAGCCTGGGAAAAGGGAGAGGGCTAAAGCATCACAGATACTAAAAGGGGCTCCAAATTGACCTTAATGGCTCAAAGTGTATGTATGAGTGGATGTGTGTATATGTGTATGCATGTATGCAGACAGTATGTATCTGCTTACTTACTCATACTCTTAAGTCTGCATATAAATGTATACTATATACACAAATATTATATACATATGCATACCTGGATATATACAATGAATACACATTATGAACATATATACAAATGTAATATAAACCTAGGGATCGAACACATGCAGGACACACATAACA